TGAATGAGCTTCACTATGGGATGGCTCCTTAACAGGTCACTATGGACTTCTCAACTTGTTAGTCATTCAGGGGGGTGGCCAGTGGGAAGAAAGTACACTCAGGATTAAAACGTGCACCAAATTTCATAGCATGGCCCTCCCTCAGAGCATCCTGCTTTCCTCCCCAGATGACAGCTCATGGTCCCTTTTTACCCATCCTCCTTTTTCTTGTTGGAATACCTTGTCTGACCTCCTCCCAGTCTGACCACTCCCTCCCCTATACTCACTCTTTTCCTGGGGAGGGGATCCAGCCAGGAATTTGTAGCTGGCCCGTTGGAGTAAAGGGGAGGGTTTCTGCATGTCCTTGAAGGTCGCCAGATGGTTCTTCTGTTCAGAGCTGATTTGCTTCTCATTGAGCTGCCACAGTGTTTTCTTCTTTTCCTCCTGCTGAGGATATGATGAACATCAGCCCGGAGAAAGTAAGGGGCAGATCCCCCCTTTAAGACAGGCGGGGGCATGCCCCAGATCTAGTCACCAGAGAGCCCAAGTGTCAGGACTTAGTTGACTGCTGTCCCCACCTCATCATGAGAACACACAGGACTTTCCAGAAGGGGTGGTGGGCCCTGGAATCAGGTAGAAAGTAGGAATACCTGTAGGAAGTTCCTAGGCTTCTGTAGCGTAGAACTTGCTGGCCCCACCATGTCTCACATCTAATTTCTCTTACCATTTTCAGGCTGGCCAAGGTCATCTAACTCAGCTTCGACTGTGCTGGATTCTGTGGCATGTACTGAAGACCAGTGCCTGGTCCTGTCCTTATGGAAGACACCCACAGTGCCTCAATTCTAAAGACCTTTCTTTTACTCCACTCGGACTATATGCATGTTTCTCGACCACTTCCCCACATCCACCTATGCTTTGCTGTAGCTGGTCTGAGGCATTAAGGAAAAATATAGACTCCTAAAACCCGAGCATGCCCTGCATTGGATTTGGTTTTCTTTACTTGCAGATGTTGTGCACGTGGGAGAAGTTATTTTAGGGCTCTGTGTCTCAATCCCTTTGTATGAGAAATGGGATGACTAACCTCTCTCACGCCAGGCTCTGTTGAGGGAAGTGGCCAGCACTCAGGCAGTCCTCATCACAGGCAGAGCCTGCCAGTCAGCACGGTTTTCTAGAAGTGTCTGTGCCTTACTCTCTCCACACTTAAACTGCCCTTTCTTCCTCCTTGCCTTTACTCAAATATTATACATCTTTCAAGGCTGGTTCAATATTAACCTTTTCTCTGACACTCTCCTGATTCTTCAAGTGCCCTCTTCTTAGAACTTCTGCGGTGATAACTAGAGTGTTCGCATGACTGGGAAAAAATCGCCCCCTACCGAAGTATTGGCAAACAGTCCAATCTCTGTCTCTGGTACTTACCAATGATAAGTTATATGTAAGATGCTCCTCATTATTCTTTTGGAGGAAGAAGTTCAGGAAGATTAAGGACACAGCAACCATGATATATCTCCATAGGCAATGATGCATGGTGCTGGAGCCTGGAGCAGCTCTGCAAAGAAATGTGAGCGGGATACAGATCCTGAGTGCCTCCAGCTCAGAAAAGCATAGCGATGGCCTCCTCTTGCCTGGAAGTCTCCCACTACCTTTCCCCTCTTCCCTCCTCCTGGACACCATTGCCAAATCATGTCAGTTGCCTTTTCCCCACCCACTTCAACGCTCCTTCCTACTTGTAGCTATCTAAGGAGAGACAAAGGCCAAAGAGTTTGATCCTTTTCCCACTTCTACCTTCTTCACCTCCTGTCTGGGTTTCCAGGTGAAACTGGAGTAGCTTCTTTTGTTTATCCACTCTTGGAGTAGAGACCCAACCAGAGAGGATGTGTTGCCAAGAAGAGGAAATCAAGTGTTAGACATTAATCATATTCTTCCCTAAACTCCAAATTCAAGTCAAAGTCCTTCCTTGGATGTTATTGACCCATAAATTGGGTCTTGTCTGTTAGTTCCCCATTTACTTTTGTGTCTGATCCTTCTTCCTAGGATTATGTTAGGCAGATTATGATGTTTTGAATCAAGTCAGAGGGACCAAGGGAAGCTCTTGCTAGTATATCTCTCCCCATCCTGAACTGGTAAGTAGGATGGAAACCTAAAAGTGACAAGAGATTTCTAATCACGTGAAAGTCGTTACCATGTTTGGAGTGCTACATCCATGGAGTCTTTTTGTCTAACAGAAGATGTGGCTTGAGAGTTTATCGGAGAGCTGGAATTTCTCTGAAATCAAGGAGAAAATAATATTTGTATGCTTGCAAGATGGGGGTCCCAGAGTGGCTCCTCTGAGGTAGCAGAAACTAGTCACCCCTCCCAGGAGACCCTGCTTGACAACCATTGTCCAGCCTGAATGGGGGGCTGGTTACCACTCCAGCCTCACATCAAGCACCTGTTTCTGGATAAGGTGGAGCTAAAGTTTTAAAGCCGGCTTTCCAGTCTTTTATCTCAAACCCAGAGGTGTGGAAATTAACTGTTGGTTTGAATCTAACTAACGAAAATGGATATTGAATGTTCCCTTCCCCTATTAGAGGGTTGCCACAGATGGTTCCTGGAGGACTTATCTCTCCCCTTCTGCCCCCTCCCCACCCAGGTTCTGTGATGCTGTGCTGCTTGGGGGATATGGCAGTCACCGCAAATTGGCCCTCACATCTACAGTTCTTCCGTGGGCCTCCCTCTTCCCAGAACTGCCCAACGGGCTTCTGAAGTTTCCTTTTCTTCTCTTTATCTGCTCTGTCTCATTACCAAGATCACATTTCCAGTTTTTCCTTGCTCCTCCCACCCCTCCCCTCCATGCTTGACTTGGCATTGGGCAAAACGCAGATTTGGCCTTTTACTAAGTAAAGAATAGAACCAAATGACATCGTCTCTTATCAGTTCAGCTTTTTAGATATGAAAAACTGAACCTGGGGCACCGGGGTGGCTCAGTCGGTGAAGCATATGACTTCAGCTCAGGTCATGATCCTGGGGTCTTGTGATCGAGTCCCGCATCGGGCTCCACGCTCGGTGCAGAGTCTGCTTGTCCCTCTCCCTCTCCCTCTGCCCCTGGTCTGGCTTGTGCTCTGTTTCTCTCTCAAATAAATAAATAAAATCTTAAAAAAAAAAGAAAGAAAAGAAAACAGAAACTGCATTTAGAATAAGATTTTACTTACAATAATGTTTTATTTCCTTTCAGTTTTATTGAGATATAGTTAACATACAGAACTATTTACATAGGTTTAATGTGCACAGCACAGTGCCTTTACTTACCTATATTGCAAAATGATTATGGCCATAAGGTTTAGTTAACATCCATCATCCCATATAGACACATACACACACATACACACATCTTTGTTATGAGTACTTTTAGTATTTACTCTCTTAGCAACTTTCAAATATACCATACCACAGAGTTAGCCATAGTCATCATGGTGTACGTTATATCCTCGGTCCCTATTTATTTGATAACTGGAAGTTTGGACGTTTTGACCACCTTCCTCCACTTCCTTCTCCCCTTAACCCCCCACTTCTGGTAGCCACAAGTCTGATCTCTTTTTCTGTGAATTTGTTTTTTTTAGGTTCCACATATAAAAGAGATCATATAGAATTTGCCTTTCTCTGTTTGACTTCTGTCATTTAGAATAATGCCCTCTGTGTCCATCCATGGTGTCACGGGTGGCAGGATTTCCCTCTTTTTGATGGCTAAAGAGTATTACATACAATTTTCTTTACCCATAATAGTGCTGTTTTGGGAAGTCCATGTATTTTTAAAAAACGCAGTCTTCTACCACGGCGTAACTACCTTGAACTTAAACCCTGTTTCCTCCTCCTCTCCTCCGCTCTTTGAATCCTCTTCTTCCAATTTTTCCTCCCCTCTCCTTTCTCCTCTAGGAACCAAAAAACACACAAGCAAACAAACAAAAATTATTATTTTTTAATTTTTTAAAAAGATTTTACTTATCTATTTGACAGCGAGAGAGGGAACGGAAGCAGGGGGAGTGGGAGCGGGAGAAGCAGGCTTCCCGCGGAGCAGGGAGCCCGATGTGGGGCTGGATCCCAGGCCCCTGGGATCATGATCATGACCTGAGCCGAAGGCAGACGCTTGGTTAACCACTGAGCCACCCAGGCGCCCCAAACAAAAAATTATTATATTGACGTTGAGATGATTAGAGAAAATCTAGGACAATTTTTTTGCCTTAAAATTATGTATAATTTTGGTGTTCAATTTATTATTTTTTCTTTTATGGTCAGTGATTTTTTTTTTTGGTCTCTTTAAGAAATAGCACACTCGACGGAGTGACCAACGGCCTGCAGAGCAACATGCCTAAGTTTTATTGTGACTACTGCGACACGTACCTCACCCATGACTCTCCATCTGTGAGAAAGACACACTGCAGTGGTAGGAAACACGAAGAGAATGTGAAAGACTACTATCAGAAATGGATGGAAGAGCAGGCTCAGAGCCTGATCGACAAAACAACCGCTGCATTTCAACAAGGAAAGATACCTCCTACTCCATTCTCTGCTCCTCCTCCTGCAGGGGCAATGATCTCACCTCCCCCCAAGTCTCCCGGGTCCTCCTCGCCCTGGTATGATGCCAGCGCCCCATATGGGGGGCCCTCCCATGATGCCAATGATGGGCCCTCCTCCTCCTGGGATGATGCCAGTGGGACCTGCTCCTGGAATGAGGCCACCTATGGGAGGCCACATGCCAATGATGCCTGGGCCCCCAATGATGAGACCTCCTGCCCGTCCCATGATGGTGTCCACTCGGCCAGGAATGACTCGACCAGACAGATAAGAAGAGATAGGAACCTCTTTATGTTCATTTTATATTACTTGTGTACTTCACCAGGAGATCATGGTGTTGTGACTCTGGGTGTTTTCTCACAGCAGGACAAGGAAGACTTGCTCCCCCTTCCTATCAAAGAGAGAATAGTTTTTGCCGGGGAGTAGTGGGACCAAAAAAAAAAAAAAAAAGCAATTTTCATTTGTATTGTGAAATGTGAAAATAAAATTGTCAACTGTTTTAGTTGAAAAAAAAAGAAATAGCACACTCTACAAGGTTGCAGAGATAGTCTCTTACGTTTCCTTCTAGAAGCTTTGTAGTATTAATTATCCCCCCAGCTTTATTGAGGTATATGGTAATTGACAAAAATTATATGCATTTGAGGTGTATGACTTGATGTTTTGATATATGTTTACATTGTGAAATAATCACCACAAGCAAGCTCAATAACATATGTCACCTCACATAGTTACTATTTTCTTTCTTTTCCTTTCCTTCTTTCCTTCCTTCCCCCTCCTTTCTTTTGATGAAAGCCCTTAATATCTACCCTCTTAGCAAATTTCAGGTATACAATACAGTATTGTTAACTATCCTCACATTGCTGTACATGAGATCCCCAGAGCTTATTAATCTTGCATAACTGGAACTTTGTACTCTTTGACTGAGATATCCCCATTTCCCCCTTTCCCAGCCCTGCCAGCCACCATTCTACTGTCTGCTTCTAGTAGGTATATACTGGTATCATACACTAGGTATATCATACACTATATACACTAGGTATTGTGTTTGTTTTTCTTTTGTAAACTAAGATTTAATTTTTACATGGTAAAATCACCTTTTTTTAGCACAGAGTTCTGTAAGTTTTGACATGCATATACTGTCGTGTAGTTGCCACCATATTCAAGATCGAGAACACTATCATCACCTCCTGAAATGTCCTCATACACTCTTGTAGTCAATCCTTTCCCTCACTCCCAGCCTCTGGTAGCTATTCACCTGTTTTCCGTCTCCACGGTTTTGCTTTTTCCAGAATTTCATGCCAATGGAATTATGTAGTATGTAGCCTTCTGAGTCTGGCTCTTCTCAGCATGCTGCATTTGAGACTCACCCATATTTTTGTGTATATTAGTAGCTCATTCCTTTATTCTGCTGAGTGGTAGTCTACTTTATGGATGGCCCACAGCTTCTTTATTCATTCATAATTTGACGGATATTTGGGTTGTGTCCAGGTTTTGGCAATGACAAATAAAACCTAAAACCAAAAAATGTTCCCTATCAGGTTTTTGTGTAACATAAATTTTCATTTCTTTCAGATAAATACCCAGGAGAGCAATTGCTGAGTCATACAATCAGTGCATGTTTACTTTATAAGAAATTGTTAAACTATTTTCTAAAGTAGTCGGTCATTTTGAACCCTGCTCCCCCCCAGCAATATATGAGGAGAGTTCCAGTTGCTCCCAATCAATACTTGGATTGTCAGGTTATTTTTAAAACATTTTATCCCTTTGAATAGGCATATGGTAGTATCTCATTGTGTTTTAAATTTACATTTTCCTACTGGTTAATAATGTTGATCATTTTCCCCCTTAAAATAAGATTTTAAAGCTATATACTTTATTCTAAGGGCTGCTTTAATTGCATCCCATAAATTTAGAGGTTGTGTATTCATTATTATTCAGTTCAAAATAGTTTCTAATTTCATTTGCAATTTCTTTTTTGACCCATGAACTATTTAGAAATGTTGCTTAATATTCCAAATCTTTGGAGATTTTCTAGATATGTAATTGTTCTTGGTTTCTACTTTTATTCCTTTTGGGTTCAAGAGCATATTTTGTATGATTATAATCCTTGAAACCAGGGTAGTCCTCTAATACACAGCCATTGTTATGCTGTGGCAAAATATTTGGCAAAATCTTCTTGCTTGGCCTTGCTTTTGGTTTCCCACCTTACCCCTATCCTGACTTTCTGGCTTCACCTTTCAGTCTTTGATCAGATAACTCTTTGAACCTGAAGCAGATCTGGCTTCTCTGGCTTGCCTTGTCAGTCCTTTCTTTGGCACCATTTTGTCATCTCCTGGCTTCCTCCATTTCTGGCTGGGCCCATTACCATCTTGCCTAGATAAGCCCTGGTCTGGAGCCTGGTCCCGATTTGCCTTCTTGGCCCAGGCACCCTGGACAGGAAATAGCCAATTTTTCTCCTAAACCTACAATGCTCAAGGGATTGTGATGGGATTAAGGAAGTGCTGGTGGCTAAATTTTGTTTCACCTAGTCAATCTGGGTGAAGATGCTCAGAGCAGAAAGGGTAGTGGCCCTCGGAGGCCAATTGCCAACGATGAGATTAGAGTAGTATATTTCCCTGCACTCGCAGATGTAGCCAGCCTCGCTCTCTTTCTACTGATGTTTTTCGTACAATTCCATGAGTCTGTAGCCAACCTCTCACTCCCATGATGCAGCCCTGACCAGACTTCAAGACCTACACCTGTGCGTTTTGTGGGTATGCTGA